TTGATATATACTTAAACTAAAAATGAAGCAGCTGAATTTAAATTAGTCTCACAAAGAGCATTTAGGTTAGTTGAATTTTGTAAAAATATTTGACAGGTGAGAAAAAATATGAATATTTGTAAAGGATAGATTTGGTGATAATTATGGTTTTTTTAAATTATATTTTTAGGTACTATGTTTATGTTTTTAATAATTAGAGAACTTGATTCAATCATGACAATGAGCTAAGTGTTCATTCCTGCTAATCAATCCAAGTTCTTGAAAATTTTTGTGTGACATTTACAAAGTGCATTAAAAAGCTAATTGGAACGCCTTCTGTGCGCAGCATGACACAGTTAATACTATTAAATTTTACAGCTGTTAACAGAATTAGCCTCTTTTAGATATATTAATCCCATCAATATTAAAATTGGAATCGATCCTATTTTAGTTGTAGGTGAAAAATTTCACTTACAGCTAAAATAGAGTTGACATCTTGTGTTTGCATGTAGACGTTTTGCGCTTTCTCTTCTTCCACCATAGTTACTTTTTTATTATTTGGCAGCACAGTTATAATAAAAGTTTCATTATTCATTAATGATGTTGTAAAAATGACAACTATCTTTACCTATTCATTAATGATGTTTTAATCATAAATGAAAAATGAAATGTTATAAATTAATTATATATCTAGCCATATTGTATGGGAATGTTTATTTGTCATGTGGTACGTCCTAACAAATGTATCTCTCACAATATATAAACTATTCTTTTCCTATAAGAAAAATACCATTTTAATTTTAATAATGTAAATGTATTAGTATATAATACCATGCTAATTTAAAATCAGACTTCAAATGCTCAAAGGAATAAGCACTTTGTTGAGATTATTTCTTTCTTTGAGCATTTGTATATTGTGTTGTAATTTAGTCTTACATTGTTGGTTTGTTATATTTGTCAAAAAAATATATATTGCTAGTAGGCCATTATTAAAAAAAAGCCCTATACTTAATTTAATTTCAAAGAAAATATAAAAGTTTTGAATTATTATCATTTACTGAGTTTCCCAGATCACCTTCATCTGATGGTTTGTAATTTATTTATTCATAATTAATTTTTTATCTGCATTTTTTTCCTAATTATATGATTTATTTATCTAGACATTTTCATATAGTACTATATCAGGACACTTGCAAAATATTTTAACATGCTTTGTTGTTCAAGTTCAAATTTTAGACATAATCTTATGGAAAAAAAAAACTTTTACCTTTTTCCATTTTGCTAATTTGGTTCAGTGGTTTAAATAAATGGGCAACTAAGGTTTGATTTCTGCCTCCTGTATGGAGAGCTTAATTGTAATTGGTTACCAACAAAAAGAACAAGAAGAAATCACTTAATAATTTAAAGATAGCCTTTCTCTCTATATATGTATATGTATATATAGATATTATGGTGCCTAAAAACCCCTTTAGATTGAAAATTACAATTTAGTGCTTTATGTGGTGTGATTATCTTTTGTGTAAATCCTTTTTTAGATTCAATTGCAGAAAAACCACAGTTTTTATATCAAAAATAAAAAACATGAATTTCTATTATTTTCTCGATATCTTTTTTTGCAATTTTTTTTTTGGGTTTATATAAAATTCCCCTTCATTTAAGTACTAAGTTGATCTATTTTCAAATAATTTTTCTAAAACAATATTAGGGACCTATTAAATAGAAAATAAGCTTGACCATGTACTAAATACTGGACAATTAAACATAAGTTTGACTTAAATTAAGGGGTACCACAAGGTTCTATCCTTGGTCCTGTTTTGTTTCTTGTCCATATTAATTATCTTCCAGACAACCTTATATTTAAAGTAGCTCTTTTTGCAGATAACTCAACTTTATACTCCTGTCTTGTTAAAAAGTCTTCTCTTTTTGATTGCTTAGAACAGTCAGCTGATCTTGAATCTGATAATGTTTATAATTGGTAATATCATAACTTTCACTTGTTTAACCAATAAACCGTAAAATATGAATATTATTAAAGCATTAAAGAACTAAAACATTAAAGTATTACTTTATTCAGACTTTCCATTAACTCACAAATAGTAGATGTTAAAGACACTGGTAGATAAATTTATTATTGTTCCCAGGTTCAATTTTATTTCTCTTTTTAAATAATAGAATGACATTTGCCACTCGTTTGGCAAATTAGATGAAATAAAAAATTTGGTAAATAACATAGAGAGTAGAATTGAAACAGTTGGTGTCAAATTTTTTAATACTGTCTGATGAATGAAATCATAGCCCATAGATTTATTATGGTTTAATGGATCAAATCTTTGTTTAGCTTTCGTCCTTTTATGCAAGATTTTTTCAGTTATCATCTTCAAACAAACAATTTATGGAACTTATTACTTATAGTTTTATTGCTAAAACACTAATGCTACGACAAGTAACATGGGTAAAGATATGAAGTAAACAAATGTTTAGTTGTTGCATTCAGAGGAATGAGATGATGTTTTTGTCTATTCTAGTCTAAAAATGATTTTATTAATTTAAACAAAAAAAAAAAAGTTAATAACACTCATATGAATCCTGCAACTAAATGTATGAAAGAATCAATCCAAGAATGCATAGAAATAAACTGGATGGTCCTTACTTAATATATTGCACATATAAAAAGGGTCATGGTAACAACAACCGTTTTTGGTATGTCTAATAACATCTGTCCAACAACATCCGAAATTTCATTGATGTATAATAACATCCATGCAACTACATCTGTAGATTTTTTGGATGTAACTACATCCAAAAATTTTTTTTTCTAATAATGCATTATTTTAACCAGATGTAGTTACACATCTGATTTTTTATCAGGTTTTTTTATTATTTCCAAACCAAAGGCTTTATTACTCAAATATGATATGTGGGAAGTTTAGTTGAATTTCACTTGACTACTTGAATTTCAAAAATGAACTTTAATCTAATAATAATAACATACTGAAACATTACAAGCAACAAACCTTTTCAACTTTGTTATAAATACTTATGAGTTGTGTTTTAAATAAAATTCAAATACGATAAAAGTATAACTTCAAATGTTTCGCTTCTTTTTGTTAAACAGTTATTTTCATAGCCAGACATCTTTGTAAAAACATTTAGCATTGTACAGTTATTGCAATAAGTTTTTTGACTCTCAGTATTTATAAAGTTTATTTATAATTAAAAGTTATTTATAAAGTTATATAAAAAAATTTACACAGGAAAATCTTGTATTAATCTTGTAAATTGTTTTCACAAATCTTGTAAAAAATGTTAACATGTATATATTATACATTACGACAACTGAGTATTTTCAAAAAATAATTTTTTTAGTTTGTAAAAATCATATTTTGAGCTTTAGTGACCATTTTATCGATGTTACAAGTCATTTAAAGAATTATTAAAACTTTTTTATAAAATACACTCAATCCGGTCCCCCTCCCCCTCTCCCTAAAAAAATAGGGAGGCAGAGGGGACATTTTTTTTTTTTTTTGGGACTTACCCAAAAAATTTTCTGTAAACGCCCCTAGTTTTTTGTCTAAATTACTTTAAGATTTTCAAAATTTTAAAATCTAATTTTCCATAATTTTTGCAAATTAACAACTTTTAAAATAATTACGCAACAGAACTAAAGTTTTCGCGGTACTTTCTAATAATGAAATTCATTTGAGAGAATATATTTGTTATGTGCGTTTTAGTTCTTGAGATCTTGATCTCGTTTATCTCGCTAAATTTGTAAAGCGTTTGTTAGTAACAACTAACAACAAGTTACTAACAACAACATTTCTCAAATATTCTTTTGTTTTCACTTATCTTCTCTCATCTAAATTTTGTTACTTTGGTATTTTGTAGGTTTTGATTAATTATTTCACATATATTCGTTTATTTTAATGGTTTTTTATTCTTTATTTACTGAGTGGAGATTTTCAACTGAGGTGAAGATTTTCAAGTTTGAAAGTATTTTTTAAATGTCTAATGATGTTGTAAAAATGAAAGTTTACTCTCTAGATCCAATCAAATTTCAGCATATTTCTTGGGTTTTCATTTTAATATCAAAGTTTAATTAAACAATATTTATTAAAATTCCATCAATTTTAAATTAATTAATTTGATTTAATCGTTTATATATAATTTAAGACTCAAAATAGTCAATTGTTAAAGAGAAAAAATATACCCGTAAATGTTTTTTTAATGGTGTTTTTTTTTTCATTTTTTTTTTTCATTTATTACCTATTAAATCAATCTCAAATAAAAATCCATGAAAATTAAATAAAAAAACATTACTTTTATTGAATTAATAATGTTTGTGTAGTTTTTATATTGGTTTCCTGTGTTTTAACTAAATGTAATATATATAATCTTCACAAACTTTTATTTATAAAGTTTTTAAATGAACACTTCAACTCCATTTATAATCGTATTAAAATTTATTAATTAAATGACTTAAGAGGTGTGCTAATCACGAAGTGTTTTTTAAAAAATAAAAACGTGGAAATAATTCATAACTCTCTCTTTGAATGTATTTCAAAAATCTTTGTCTCCCCTTTAAAATTTCTTAAATGTTATCCGTTTTCCAATCACCCGTTTGTTTAAAAAAAATTTTCTAAATTGTTAGCATATTTTTAATAGATTAGTCGTAAGAGATAAACACGTGCGTGTATCAATTCATTTGTAATTATATTCGTTGCAAACAATTTTTTAACGTTTGTATAGTTTTATATTTACTAAGTTTTTATATAATACTTTTTCTTATATGTTTATTAATGAACAATAAGATTCATTTGAAAAAAATTAGTAATAGATTTTGTTTAAGGTGTAATGTAAATATTGAAATTCACTGTCGTAAATCCGCAACTAACACAAAGAAACCAATTCCATGTGAACGTCATCGTTGTTGACTCTTATATTTATTTTCATAGTCATTCACTTGATAGTTGTTATTAGATAAATCTTTTATTGAAAATATTTTTTTTTTTTTAATGAGACAAAAGAAAAGATAAACTTTATTGTATAAAGTTGCATTTTAGCCTCATATACTTTTGTAAGTAATTTTGCTTTACCTATTATTTGATAGTTTTTATTTCTAAAGAAATAAAGCCGGCGAAGCGGTGTTGTCTTTTTTTTAGACTTTGTTGTTTAGCGAATTATTTTCTAAGATATTATTTAAAAATAGTTTTTTTTTTTGTCAGGAAGTTGTTTTGTAATAATTTCTCAACTTTGGCTGTGGTTTCCTGGTAACTTCTCGGAGTAATTTGATGTATATATAAGAATTTGCTAAAATTGCACGATCGTATTTTGGTTAATTATATCGTTAAATTTATTTAAGTTGAACAAAATGAAAGTTTTTTGACTGTTTGATTTTACTTTACCTGTTCATTAAATTATAAGCAGAGTTTTTCTATATTAGATTACAAGTAGAAAACAGATGCGGATTTGGTAACAATAAAATTTAAATAAAATGTCTAATGAAGTTACTATGGCCAATAAAGTCGTATTTATTTACTTATCTTTGAGTTTTCTACCGCTTGCAAAATTGGCAAACGAGCCTACGTGGAAAGAAATCCAAACAAAGTTAGAACAACGTATGGCTGAGGTTTTTGACGATAAACTGCAATTACATAGTGGAGAGTTTTTTAAGTATAAAATATCTGGAGAATTTCCGTACGAAGTGAGTATTTGTTATTTTTAAAAACTTTTTTGTTCGACGCTCTAACCAACTGAGCTATCCAGCCACAATAACGTTTCATTTTTTCATTATTCTCTGACCTTTAGATTCACGATTTAATAGATTGATTTGTTATTTTTGTTCATAGTTAAGTTTTTAGAATAAATTATAATGAAAATGTTTAATCTTTGTAAAACTGACCAATACTACTAAATTTCATACGATAATGGAAGCATTGTAGTGAGATTTCCATTAAGTCACTTTAAGACTATCTAAGTGATTTATGGAAGCATTGTAGTTGAGAAAGTTTAAAATAAAGTAGTATAAATTTTTAAATTAAATATTTTTTGAATTCCATTTTGGGGGTATATTTATAGATAATTCTTCTCAAAGTTTTTGAAAAAGTTGTAATCTTTCATATCCTAAAAAAGAACTAAATTACGTTGTTAATTATAATTAGCTGTGATTTTTTTAAATTATACAATTATAAACTATATATATTTAATGACTGAGTTTTGCTAACTCAAATTATCAGTTAGTTACAAAATTGCCAGATAATTAAATCATAGTGAAGAAAAAAAAAAACTTTATTAAAATAGATTCTTGACCTATACTGATAAAACCATATTAAAATATTAAAATTAAAAAACAAAAAATGCTCAGCCAAATGTTGTTGATAACTTAATTAAACACATTTAAACAAAATAATAATTAGACAAAAACTTGATAGTTAAACGATAAACAATATTAAAGACTATAAACCATTTCATGTTATACTTTCATTTTTTTTATCGATAACATCACAATTTAAACAATTTCAAATTTTATTTTTCAAAATATTTGCTTACCTCGCATCAATTTACTACGCCGTCACGTGACAATAAGTTATAATAATAACTTTTTATAATAAATTATAATAATAACATGAAAATAAATTTATAATAATAACTTTTCAATAAAGTTAATAGAGTAGAGCGAAACTAGTTTAGTGGTGGTTTGCAGTTATGCAGCTTTGGTGTAATCGTTATAATATTTACTTTCTTACCAATATGCCATATTGGTAAGAAAGGAGACGTTTACTTCCTGGTTAAATGCTATACTGCTATTTTTTTTCCAAACCTGCTTGACCAACCCCGGCGCATGACGCACAAATTAGGTTGTAAAGATAATGGTAAGCCAAAAAAGTTAGTTATAATCAAAAGTCCAATAAATGGAAAATATTAAAGCTTAAGTAATGCCAGATCAAAAAAAATTATAAATATTCAAGAGAAAATAGCTTTTTGTTCCTAAATAGGAAAAATGCTGTTGCGTTTCACTCGACTGCTGTCTAAAAACCTTTTACGCAATGCGTTAACCCTCCTACATTTTCTCCATTAGATGTTTTGTCATGCGATGGCGCAGTTTTTCGAGGCATTTTAATTGTTTTATATCGTTGCCCTATGGCCAACTAGCCCCGCCCTACGTAACTATAATAAAAATATATATATATTTTTTTTTTCTGTTTTTGCAAACAAACTCTTAAACAAAACTTCGACAACCTCTTTTTTTTGTAGGAAAAAAAAACTTAAAAAAAACTTAAAAAATGATAATATTTATTCAACAAGTGATGTAATGTAAACATTAGAATATCAAGTTTGCTATCGAATAAATTGGTATTATTACGTGTAATAAAATTTTGTTTTATTTACCTTCCCCCTCCCCCACCTCTTCCTCCTTCCCTTTTTCTTATTTAAGTTTTAGTTTTCATTACTTTAGGTCGACGTTCAAAGTTCTAAAGAATTACCAAAATGGCTGCAGTTTGATTCTAAAAAAAATAAACTTCAAGGAGTTCCTACAGACGAAGATATAAAAAACGATTTAAAAATAGAATTTCGAAAGAAAAGTGAAAATTCTATTAATGGAATGGATAGTGAAGTACGAAGGCTAACGATTGATGTTCGACCTAGTAGAGAACAGCGTCTTTTTAAATGCAAAGACGAAAACATGAATCCCTTTATTGGCTCTGTTATTTTCTATGATGATATTAAAAAAATGACCGGCAACAAAAGAGTAGATATTATGCGCGAGTTTGCGAGTCGTTTGGATACTAAACCACAAGATCTTTACTTAGAAGTCGGAAATCGAATGGATAAAATTGATGTAATTGAACAAACTCCGCAAATGGCAGGTCCTGGAGATAAAGATATTGGTGATAAAGTTCCAATGTTTACCATATCATGGGTTATCCATTGTGGAAATGATTTAGCTGGTAAAAATTAAACTAACTTTAAGTAACTAGTAACTTTAAGTTCAAATTTTACTAAATATTTAAAACTATAAAATGAAAATAGTTAAATGATTTTGTCCATAATTTTTTATTTGTTTATAGGTTCCAAACCTCTCGCTTTATTGCGTCGTTTATCTGAAGCGCAAGATTTCTCTTCTGAATTTAGTGTGAAAGTATTGGGTTGGCTCATTACCTCTTTTAAGAGCCACAAACTTTATAAAAGAGCTGTCGGAAATTCTGGAAATACTGTTAGCATCCTGCAAGCTACTCCTACTCTTTTACTGCCTTCCCTTACAACCGCATCTGCTATAAAAAGCGTAAGTCCCTCTCCTACGACTTCAATTAAAATAATGATGAGCACAAGCGTTCATTCACCAAAAATCAGAACTGAACCTGATGTATTAACTACATCAGATACAATTACGTCTAAAATGCCTTCTCCTGTTACCCCCAAAAAACCAGAAGTTTCAAACAAGCGACCTGAACTTTGCAATAGCATTGAAAACATAAAGTTGTTTGCCATGTCAGCATTTGAAATTAAAGTGCCGGTCAATTTATTTAATGATCCTGAAAAAGAAGAATTAACCATTTCTGTAAATCGTATGACAAAAAATAACGAGTTGAAAAAATTGCAACCTGGACATTGGGTTGAATATGTTGATAAAAACATTTATATTTTCCCTGGTGTAGAAAATATTGGTACGCATCAGTTTTCTTTAACTGCTACAGATCCTTCGGGTCTTTTTGTTAACGCCATGTTTTTAGTCACTGTTGAAGCAAAAAAAAATTATAGCCATATTTTTAATTTAAGACTCGATGAGGATTTTTCATTATTTAAGAGTGTACAAAGTCGAGTGGAATTAATCAAAAAATTAGCTACTAAAACAAAGTATGAATTAAAAGATATGCAAGCAATAGAAATATTGCCAGGTTCAGTAATCATAAATTGGGCTGTAGATGAACTCAACGGGTGTAACAATCCTCAGGTGATATCATATTTTCAGTTGATAAGTAGTACACAGTTTAAAGAATTCTTTTATAAAGTAAACAGCACAAATTTGGTTGAACTAGCAAATTGTTCGTCACCTGCACTTGCATCAGCAGAAAGCGCGAGTGGCAGTCTTGCGGCACGTATTATTATTCCAGTTATTGCAATTATAATAATTCTGATTCTTATTGCCATTATCTTGTGTTGTTTATATCGAAGAAGACAAAGATACCAACCTAAAGATGAGGATAGCTATGTTCGAAATCACAAGAAACCGGTCATTTTTCGCGAAGAATACGAAGAAAAGCAGCCGGCATTTGTCAGTTTACAGCCTCTTATATTACCAAATGAAAAGCCACCTGTTCCGACGGCTTACGAACCTAAATTGGAATCCCAAGAATCTTCTACGGAGTCTAATGGTAGCGATGATAGAGTTTTTTTAACGCCTGGTTCACCAAAAGACAATGGTAGGAAAGGGTATAACGCACCTCCTCCGTATAGCACTCGTTAATTTTAAGCTCAGTTTTTTATTGAGCAGGAGAACAGTTAATTCAGTTACGATCTAGCCAATGAAAGCAATTGCAGCAATATTAGTTGTAAGTAAAATACTGCAATTGTTTTATCCAACAACATTCGGTTATGTTTAGTTCAGCTTTTTAATTTTATATCATTTCCATTTATCATATTTTATATATTTAAAAAAAAATCCGAACAAAAGATTTTTAGCTTTTGAATTAACACTTTTATATTACTGTATATTTAGAACTGTAGATTACAATTTTGTATGTTTCAAGACATGTGTTGATAGTTATTTTAAAATTTTTCTTAAAGAATATTTCCATCATCTTAACGATGGATTTCAGAGTTCATTTTTTTGAATTTATCTGTATTTAGAACACTTAAAGAACACTTAAAAAGTCGAAAAAAAAGTTAGAGACAAATTCAAAAATAATTTTAGTAACAAATCTGTATTTAAGACCTAAAAGAAATATGCTTTAATCTTGTTTTCTTCTTCATACTGCTTTAACCTTCAAAATACCTTCCTAAATTTGAAAGAAGTGTGTCGAAGGATCTAAAGGGTTATCTGAGCTTGATGAAATCTATCTGAAAATATTGAGCTTGTCTAATTTGTAAAATTGTAAAAAGAAAATTTTATAAATATTCTTTATTATTACTGAATTTTGTTAGTCATTTGCATCAAACATAAAAAAAAAAGATGGTTATTGGGCATGCAAAAAACCGCTGCTTTTAATAACAGTGTTACAGTAGGTACTTTTTTTAAATACCGGTATTTAATAACGATAACGATAAATAAAAAAGGAGAACAATTTATTGTCAATTATTTTGTTAATTATAATTTAAAAAAATAAGATTTTAAAAGAACATATTATCTAGTGAATTATCATACAAACTGGATTTTCTGAACACTTGTTGCCTTGATATTAGAGCTTTAAAAACTTGTTCAAAATGTTTTCCTCTAAAGCGCGTTGTTCATTAAACAATTATAATTATTTTTTTAAGACTACCATATATATAGTTTTTACCATATGTATAATTCGTATAGTTTTTTGTTATTTATATCATGTAGTTTGTTTTTAAATGATGAGTTTGCCTATATTATTGTTTTTATTTGGTTTTGGATCAACTATATTTGGATTGCCTTTCGTTGTGCAAGTTGAATAATAAGTTTCAAAATAAGTTTATTTACAGTGTTGTTGAATAAATCACAGACATTTCCCAGCTAGCACACATACGTTGTTAAAACATTAGAACAATTTTTATATCATTATGGTTACAAATGCGACGTTGTCATCAACTAAAAACCAATGTTGATAAAACGTTTATTTAAAGTCGGAAAATGGTTATATTTATTACGTTAGCCCAACGTTGTATTTTAAGTTGGCTCAACGTTGTAAGTACGTTGATTAAATGTTGAACTTTAGTTTACAAAACGTTGTATTCAATGTTAGGCGGAGTTAATTTTTAATATAATTCTATTTTTTTTTACCTAATATTATATGTAATAAATAAACAGTATTATAAGATAAAGAAAGTTGATGATCGTCTGAATAAAAATCATGTCTGTGTTGATTGTGGTTTGATATTTTAATAATCTCGGAAGATTTTATTTAAGTTATAATTTTGCCATTGTAATGTTTGGTCGCATACATTGGATCAACGTTGGGTTTAGTTCGTAAAAACAATCAACTTTTTGCGATGTATTTACATACATTGGATCAACGTTGATTTATATAAACTAAATCAGCGTCGAAATATATATACATTGGATTAACGTTGGGTTTAGATCGTAAAAACAATCAACTTTTTGCGATGTTTTTACATACATTGGACCAATGTAAATTTGCCAGGTGTTTTTAGTTCCGTCGGTAATAATTTTAACATTAACCAAATGACATTGAATCAACGTTGATTTTCCATTGGAAAAAGGAGCCGACGTTTGCGATGGTTTTACATACGTTGGCCCAATGTATTAGCTGGGTTAGGTCACTTACCTTTTTTTTTCCAAGCATACCCTTAACATATTTTCGTAAAATTAAAGAGTTTTAGTGAGATGTTTTAAAATTTTTTTTTCAAATTTTGAAAAACTTTTCTAATTTTTGCTATCAAAGAATAAATAAGTTTTTTTAATGATCATTTTTATATCAAATTCAGTTTCTTTATCAGAATCAAAACAATTAATTCCCTTAAATCGAGGTTAAACTATGTCATTTTAGACTTAAAAATTTTCAAATATCTATTTTTTCATGTACTTTAATGACCTTTAAATTTAGCGTATAGAAACCATCTACGGCAAGCATGCAATATTTTTTATAATCCATTTCAGAATCTTGCTAATTCGTTGTTAAATGCAATATTCATAAGTGATACTAATTAAAATGATGCAAAATTTAACCTACTAAAAGCATACATATTTCGAAAAAATATCAAAATATATCAAAAAAAAGAATTTTTTTTGGAAATGAAACCTATTGTTTATAAACTGCAACAAAGGAATTAATTAAAAAATATAAAAAAGAAAAGAATAGAAAAGAAATAAATTACTTTAACGAAATTAGTTTGCCTGAATTTGTATGCACTTATTTTCAACCAAATAAAGTTAGTAACTTTATGAGTGGATAATAAAAATTTTCGTTAACGAAGACTTTTCACTCGAAACCGTTGCCATCAGGAAAAAATTGTTTACTGACGTAAAACGAAGACGTTTAAACGGAGAGAAAGATGCGATTCGGTATGATAAAACTATTTGTTTTAAAAATTCTTTTTATGATAACAATAGAAAAAAGTAAACTAATTCACACTCTTAAAAAGAACTCTTTTAAACATATATAAAACAATCATGGCTGCATTAAATAATTTTGAATCTCTCGCGTTTAATTTTTTCGAAAAAGAATTTTTTTCCCAGGACAAAAACTCAGATCCCGACAATAATTTTTATTGTGAGACTTTTTCAGATTGTTCGTATATTTTTCCGAGCGAACTAGAAGAATATCTTTTTAAGAATGTTATTGACAAAAATTCGAATCAAATTAGAATTCTCCAACGCAATATAAGAAGTCTAAATAGTAACTTTGAAAAACTTTTAAATCTAATAGAAGAAACGAAAAACCTTTTTAATATAATATGCTTAACAGAAACGTGGATTACATCAAAAGATCTAAATAGTAATTTTCAAATTCCGCATTTTAATATTATTTCTTTGGAGAGACAAATAAATAAACGAGGTGGTGGAGTACTAATTTATGCGCACGAAACACTTAGGCTTGTTTTTAGAGGCGATTTGAGCATTTCTGATATCGACAAAGAAGTCTTAACAATTGAAATTGAAAGCAACCAAACAAAAAACTTATTAATTAGCTGTTGATATCGGCCACCTGCTGGCATGAGTGAAAACCTTAGCATGTTAACTATAAACTCAGCGACTTTAATCGATAATATTATTTCAACTGATATTTTTAATAAGGGTATAAAAAAAGGTATATTAAAAACTGATATAACGGACCATTTTCCCATTTTTGTAACAATTGATACATATACAGCAAAAAACATTGACAACAAAAAAGTATTGAAGAAACGTATCATTAATCAAAATAACCTTAATTTATTCAAAGACCAACTATTCTTACTCCATCGGAATAATATTAACATAAACAATAATGCAAACGACATATATGAAACTTTCTTCAAAACTTTCTATTTTGTATACGACGCTAACTTTCCCGTAGTTGAAATAAAAGCAAAACCTAAGAGTTTGAATTCTCCTTGGATTACCAAGGGGTTTAAAAAATCTTCCAAAATCAAACAGAAGTTATATATAAATTTTCTAAAAACAAAAACAACTGCAAACGAAAAAATTTACAAAAACTATAAATATTTATATATTATTTATTATATTTATATATTACTTATATATTTGAGAAAATTCGTAAAAACTTAAAAAAAGATTATTACTCGGAATTACAATTTCAAATATAACACCAAATATAACACCAAATATAACACCAAATATAACACCAAATATAACACCAAATATAACACCAAATATAACACACAATTTCATATATAACACCAAATATAACACCAAATATAACACCAAATATAACACCAAATATAACACCAAATATAACACACAATTTCAAATATAACACCAAATATAACACCAAATATAACACCAAATATAACACCAAATATAACACACAATTTCAAATATAACACCAAATATAACACCAAATATAACACCAAATATAACACCAAATATAACACACAATTTCAAATATAACACCAAGCGCATTTGGAAAATAATGAAGGAAATTATAAGAAAACAAAAATCATGCTTTGGTTTTCTGCCACAAATGATTAAAATTGAAAACACTAGTATATTTGAACCAAACGCTATATCACATGAATTTAATAAATTTTTTACTGAAATAGGTCCTAAACTATCAAATAAGATTCTTATCACAAGAACTTTGTTTAGTGACTTTTTATTACCGTTGGAGAAGTGTATATGCTCTGATGAGCTATCCTCTGATTTATCAATTGAAGAACTTGAAAAGGCGCTCAAATCTATATATAAAAAAAAAAATCATGTGGACTAGACGAAATAGATGGAAATGTGATAATAGATTGCTTTAAGCAACTAAAAGATGTTCTTTTCAAAGTTTTCAATGCCTCAATTAAAAAAGGAATCTTTCCAGAACAATTAAAAATTGCCAAAGTTACACCTATTTATAAAGATCGTGACCAATCCCAAATAACTAATTATCGCCCCATCTCTGTGCTCTCTGTATTTTCAAAAATCCTAGAAAGAATTATGTGCAATAGAATATATAAACACTTTGACAAAAATAACCTCCTCTATGTTAATCAATTTGGTTTTAAAAAGGATAGCTTAACAGAGCATGCAATTATTCAACTTGTAAATGAAATTTCAAAATCGTTTGAACAATCAATGTATACATTAGGTATTTTTATCGACATATCGAAGGCCTTCGATACGGTTGACCATCACATCCTACTCAAAAAACTGAAATACTATGGAGTAAATAATCAAGCGTTAAGGTGGTTCAGAAGTTACTTAACAAACAGAAAACAATTTGTTGTTGGTAATGACAACTATCACAACAATTGTTTAAGTATAACCTTTGGAGTTCCACAAGGTTCAATCCTCGGACCTCTCCTTTTTTTAATTTATATAAACGATTTAAATAAAGCAACTAATCTGATGAGCATCATGTTCGCTGATGATACTAATTTATTCATCTCTAAGAGCGATATTAGCGAACTTTTTGCCACAGTGAATAAAGAACTTAAACTTTTATCCCACTGGTTCAAATTCAATAAATTAACTTTAAATACTGACAAAACTAAATGGACTCTTTTTCATTCGAATAGGAAAAAAAAATTTTTACCCTTAAACTTGCCTCCAATTTTTATTGATGAAATTAAAATAAAAAGAGACTCCATTATTAAATTCTTAGGTGTTTATCTCGATGAGAACATTAATTGGAATCAACATATTAACTATATATGCACTAAAGTCTCTAAAAACATTGGAGTTTTGTACAAAGCTCGAACTTATCTCAATAAGAAACACTTAAGGCAACTTTTCTCATTTATTCACTGCTACATAAACTACGCTAATACTGCCTGGGGAAGTA